GCCCCAGTAGATAGTTGTATGTCATAGCTGCACATCCTTCTAGTTGCTGTATGTGGGACGCGGCCTCAGCATGGCCAGAGAAGCGGTGCGTCGGTGCGCCCCCGGGATCGAACCCGGGCCGCCAGTATCGGAGTGCGTGCACTTAACCGCTAAGCCATGGGGCCAGCCCTGAGCTCTTTTTTTAAGTAAGAAAAGAGTGTGTTGTTTTTCATTTTCTTTGAGGCTATTGAAAACTACTTGTCTGAACTCTTCACGTTTCCTTGGGAAATTCCTCTTGTGACGAATTTCCTCCTCTTTGTAGTATCTAGGCCTCATTCTCCTGCTGGTTCTTTGATTGGGGCCAGCTGTTTATGAGAATGCTACAGAGGATTGGCAGGAGAGTGAGCTGTTTAGTGCACAGCTTTACTTCAGATTTTTCTGTCCTCCACCAAATCTTTAGTTTCCTTTGCTCTTGGGATACACTCTCCCTCAGTTTTTGGTGTTCAGGAAGTTACTCTGGTTTAAAGAAAACTGCGTTGTGACCTAGTGGTCATTGCTTTCCCAACCTCCTCCTCCCTGTCTGGGGCATGGTGAATACATAGAAGACAGTAGACATGGTACTTCAGTGTGGTGTCTCCTGTTATACAGGACCATCTGAATCTATAGGGAACATTCCCCAGTTTTTCTGGGACCTACCCATAGTCATTCTCACCAAAAGATAGTTGGCTATGATTTTCATTCTCATTGCTTCCTTTTAGAAAATATGTTTTATCTGATACTTGTTTAGCCTTTTCATGGTAGTATTGGCAAATTGTTTTTGATTAAATCTGCTTAAGTTGTTTTTGAGTGAATCTGGTTGTATGTGTGTCCATAATGTTGACTAGCAAATCAAAGCGATTCACATTAGAAATAAAACTTTGGACAACATATTGTAGATGCAAATTTAGTTTGGTTTGGTTTACTTTTAATGTTCTTTTTTAAGTAAAGTTCTACTTTTTTTTTTCCCAATAGGTCTTAAAGGAAGCGAAAAAACCAATGGTGGTTTTAGGCAGTTCTGCACTCCAAAGGAATGATGGGGCAGCAATTCTTGCGGCTGTTTCCAACATTGCTCAAAAGATCCGGATGAGTAGTGGTGTTACTGATAATTGGAAAGTTATGAATATCCTTCATAGGTATGTCGCATAATTGTTTTTTATACTACAAAATTCAAGTAATTTTGTGTATATGTGTTCTAAATGTGTCACATTTAGATTTACAAACAACTAATATTTAGCAACATTAGTAGCAGATGTGAAATAGAAAGCCTTGCTTTCTGTGTGAGAAGAACTCAAGATTATAAATAATATTAAAAATATCCAAAATAGCAGTAAGTACTGAGAAAATCTTGAAAATCTGTATCATTTTAATATACCTTGGTTCAAAAATTGCAACAAGTCTTGTAACTTTATGATTTAGTTATTGTTGAAATCATACTGTCTATACAATTTTATGTCCTGACTTTGATCAATTTTCATTACCAAACAAGAATTTCCTCCTGTGATTAGAAATTCTTTATAAATATAAACTTTAATGGCTATGTAATATCATGAATAGGGCCGGCCCCGTGGCTTAGCGGTTGGGTGCGCGCGCTCCACTGCTGGAGGCCCGGGTTCGGATCCCGGGCGCGCACCGGCGCACCACTTCTCCGGCCATGCTGAGGCCGCATCCCACATACAGCAACTAGAAGGATGTGCAGCTATGACGTACAACTATCTACTGGGGCTTTGGGGAAAAAAATAAAAACTTAAATAAATAATATCATGAATATTTATAATTTTTTAGCCATTTCCTTCTTGTTAACTTGTGTATTGACGCTAGTCTTTATTTATAAATCATGCAGTGGTACACAGTTACCGCTGAACTTTAGATTATTTCCTTAGGGTAGATTTCCAAAGGTAGGACTACTGGGGTGAAAAGAATAAACATTGCTAAGGCTCTTAATGCTCATTTCCAACTCGTTTTTAGAAAAAAGTTTTAGAGAGGTTGTATCAATTTTACATTAGTGAATGAATTTTCCCATTTCACATAATCCTTTCTACCTTAAGTGTTATTTTTCAAATTCTTCAAATTGTTGAAGGATTGATGCTAAGCACGTTTTTAAGTATAATAGGTAAATTTTTTAATTTAAAAGTGTTCAAATGCATTCTGAAACATTAATTTCAATGTTATATTTCCCCTTGTTGGTTTAAGTTGGCATTGTAGATCATTATGTAAACATTTTTTAAAACTTTATATTTTTTAAATAGAGTTTATTTTCATTGACCACCTCTGGATCCTTTCTAGCCACAATTTTTACTTTCTTCTTATTTTCAATTCACTTCTGCATTCATGTCTTTATTCCTATAGTATTTTTTTCTGAATGGGTACTTAAATAATTTTTTTTTTTAATTTCTGAATGTCTAACACTGTCTTTCTGGTTCCTTCTCATAAGTGACCACTTGACCAGGTACAAAGATCACAGCCTTTTTCACTTTAATACTCAGTATTTTTTCACCATTCTTTCATTTAGTAATTTAGAGAGGATCTCATCTAATCTGAGTTTTATATATGATAACCTGATTTTGTATATGTATGTGTGTCTATCTGCCTGCTCGTCCTTTGGATTCCTTATTTTTGGTGTTCCACAATCCTACCAGCATGTAACTAGGTGACACTCATTTGTCGTTTGTTACCTTTGCCTGGGAACATCATAGATACTCTCCATTTTCAAAGTGAAATTTTTTTGTTTGTTTGTTCTTTTGGTTCAGAAAAAGCATATTGGTTTACCTTTATATTGTTATTTGTTCTCATGCGGAAGCTTCTGTGCGTTATGCATTTGTTGGCCTTTCAGACTTTCGGTTCTCTTATCTTTTCTAATAATTTTTCTCACTTCCTTTTTCTCTGTGTTTAGAGAATATTTCTTAAATTATCTTCTATCATTTTGTGAGTTTTCATTCTGGAGAGCACTGACACTTTGTGATTTTTAATTTATTAACCTTGTTTTTTATTTCATTCTTATCACAAGATTTCTTTTTTATGCAAGTTTAATGGTTTATTAGGACATATCTTTTAATGCCTATTGAGAACATGAAACAGATATTTTTAAACTTTTTATTTCTTTTCTTTTTTTTTTTTTTTTTTGTGAAGAAGATCAACCCTGAGCTAACATCTGTGCTAATCCTCCTCTTTTTGCTAAGGAAGACCGGCCCTGAGATAACATCTATTGCCAATCCTCC